GCAGAATTGGCAGCAACCGAACAAATTTACTTTCAACCAAAAGACAAAACAAAGACAAATACTATTTCACAGTGTTAAAGAATACACAGTTTAGCAGAATTGGCAGCAACCGAACAAATTTACTTTCAACCAAAAGACAAAACAAAGACAAATACTATTTCACAGTGTTAAAGAATACACAGTTTAGCAGAATTGGCAGCAACCGAACAAATTTACTTTCAACCAAAAGACAAAACAAAGACAAATACTATTTCACAGTGTTAAAGAATACACAGTTTAGCAGAATTGGCAGCAACCAAATAAATTTACTAAGCAATCTAAGTGAAATGGCTAATCTAAGTGAAATTACGAGTAAATTTATCATTAAGTTAAATATGGAAAATCTTAAACTTACCTCGTTGCGTAGAGTATGAACCTCATTCTGCAACGATACTATCATCTCACGTAGAGCGGCAACCTCACCACGTAAAGTTGACACCTCCACACGCCATGCACCATCGTTATCGCGTAGAGTACCGATCTCCTCACGCAAGGCATTGACCTCATCACGTAACTCATCCCGTGGAGGTGGAGAACAAGGAGATAAATGTCGTGGCCTCTTTACCGGTCGCCTATCATGAGGTGATGGTGGAGAAGAGGCTCGATGATGTGACGGGATAGGTGATGGCTCTCGTTCTAGAGGTGTATAGTCGGGTCGATCGGGTGATGGCTCTGGGTGAGGTGATGGCTCTCGAATTGGAGGAAGTGGATGCTGCTCATCATCCGTGCCATCAAAAAAACTCTGACTAGCTTGCCACCAATCAGTGGCAAGCTCTTCCTCCGTGGGTGTCAGTCTTTGTAATGGAATGTTGGCCTCCTAACAATATAAAAACTCAAACAAAGTTAAACGTCTACTATTAATAACTTGTTTATATATTATATGAAAGTATTTGTGTTAACTTACATTATTTATTGTCGCATATGGTATTAAGTCTTCCCAATCCAACAGATTTTTCCTCTTCCAGGAAATAGCCCTGGGAATATCATTTGACGTTTTTATTGCATATGTACGCATGCTGGGGAAAGCCTCGAATATCCAAATCTACAAACAATATAATAACAAAATTAGTAATTTTTAAATAATTAATTATAATTTTAGAAACATTATATAGAAATTCTTACCTTAAAGGCCCAAACAAAGCCTGACAAAGTGTATTTCGACCCATCGGCACGCAAACTTTTGCGGTCATCAAAGGCAGTAGACAACTTAGTCCAGGTAGCTTTCCATATACGAACCCCACGGAAACAGATTCCATGCATTCAGGTCCTCTACCAATATTATTAGCTCCCGAGGAATAGGTTGTCTGGCCTCTCTGCCTAAAAAGCCGGCATACACAAGTAGTAGAAGGCATACTCGGACAACATCAACGTCATCCATCCGAGTGAAACCAGCTTTCTTATTAAACAATTTCTTCAGGTCGTCGACGTGTAGGTTCGGCTTCTCCATTGACTCATCCGGAAAAACCCGGGATAACCATGATGGGCGGGCGATATGACGAGTGTACCGGCCTACATCATCGTGTCCGAATCGTAGACCAGTGATTAAGCAGAACTCCTTCCGCCCAAACAAGTATACGCTGGTGGAAAATGAAACCATATCTCTTCCTCACCACGTTGTATACTGTCGGGTAGATTTGATGTCATGGTCTGAAGCCACAAATGGGTCAAATTAGCATCTCCACCCGGATGCTGTACTCTCAGCCATGGCCCGAAGCAGGTTTCCTCAAACAATTGTCTTTGTGCAGGTGAAAGCTTCGAAGCAATTGTAGTGGCTAGGCTAACTTTATTCCTTAATGTCAATGAAGCCGAAAAAAATTTCTACAAAACAATAAACATACCAAGTTAGATATACCAAAAACTACACTGTGAAGATATACCAAAAACAATAAACATAAAAAGTAGTAGTTTATTCTTGAAACTAAAATTTGCAACACTGTTTTGTCTTTTGGTTGAAATGAAAATCGCAACGAGAGAATGACTGTCGCAACGAGAGAAATGAAAATCGCAACGAGAGAATCGCAACGCGAAATGAAAATCGCAACGAGAGAATCGCAACGCGAAATGAAAATCGCAATGCGATTTTGGTTTCGCGTTGCGATTCTCTCGTTGCGATTTTCATTTCGCGTTGCGATTCTCTCGTTGCGATTTTCATTTTTCTCGTTGCAGATAGTCATTTTCACGTTGCGATTTTCATTTATCTCGTTGCGACTCTTCTGCAAATTGAAACTTGAATGGATTGCATTACTTCAACCAAAAGACATAACAAAGACAAAGACAAATACTAACTTGAAAATCGCAACGAGAGAATAGCAACGCGAAATGAAAATCGCAACGAGAGAATCGTAACGCGAAATGAAATCTAAGTGAAATGGTTAATCTATTATTGAAATGACCAGTAAACTTATCATCAGTTTCAATATGAAAAACCTACAATAATGCAAAATTTCAAAATAAAAATAATTAAAAAAACTAACCCTCGGAGGTTGATTTTCCATTTCTGAATATTGTGAGGGATTTCTGACCGTGAATGGTTGTGAGGGATTTCGCCGGAGATGGGGACGGAAATCTTCGGAGATGGGGACGGATTTCGCCGTAGAGAGTGAGAGATGGAGATGGGACTGAGTTGTGATTTTAGGTTTAGGTTATGAGTTGCGATTACGGGATTTTGTCTTAATATTCGTTTTTGTAATTTGAAAATATAATACGCGTAGCGATTATAATGGCGCTTTAAAAATCGCGTTGCGATTTACGGATACGCGTTGCGATTTTACGTATTGTCGTTGCGATTTACGGATACGCGTTGCGATATACGGATACGCATTGCGATTTACGGATACGCGTTGCGATTTACGGATACACGTTGCGATTTACGGATACGCGTTGCGATTTATGTGTTCGCGTTGCGATTTTCATATTCGCGTTGCGATTCTGGAAAATCGCAATGCGAATTTGTACTATCGCATTGCGATTTTCAAGAATCGCGTTGCGATTTTGGAAACTGATTTGCGATTCTGGGGATCGCGTTGCGATTTTTATTTCGCGTTGCGATTTTGTTGGTCATTTTGGCAAATCCAAAAAAAGTTGGTTAAAATCGTATATTATAAGGCATTTTTTGTCACTGAGGCGATTTTCTCTTTGGGGATTTGATTTAGACTATGCACCAACAAATTCCCATAAATAACTCGGATCAATACGTGCAGAAGGCTAGTAGTGTAGACCCGTTAAAAGAGTTAACCTAATTGAGTATTAGCGCGATGAACAAAGAAATTTATATTAAAGTTACAAGCTTAAAAAATGTAAAGTTATAGAATATCATAAACTACGAAATTAAATAATCAATAAACATATAAAAACAATATCTAAATTATATAAAGATTGATTTTTTTTAAAAAAAAATATGATTGTATCATCTAATACCCCTCGATGGTCCATAAATGCTAATACTTAATACATATATGATTACATTTAAAAAATAAAGAGCAATACAACATGTCGCTAAATGATTGGTTATTAGCTTTAATTTTGTTTAAAAATGGTTTTTCAGTGACAAAGACGGTCATGTGAACAACTTTGATGGCTATTTTATTTTACTTTGAGCATCTTTCCGGTAACTGAACAGAGTCTAATCTGCAAACCCAATTATTGACCCTTGAATAAAATATTAAATAGAAAATAAAAAAAATTATCAATTTAAATTTGTGTGAAAGCATCTTTCCAATATAAATAACTAATTTTTATGCTTCTTAATAAAATAAATAGTAATAATTTTGAAAGTTGGTGAGAATGATTCATTGGGTGTAGTCAGAATCTCAGCAATGCCGACCTGGGATTCTTTCGATGCATAAAATAATATAAGGTAAAGAATCAATTAAAAACAAAACTTATATATAATCAAATGGGTGGTTATAACTTTTTAATCTTTTGCTTATTCTTAAATGAATTATTTACTTTTTTTCCTTTTATTTTTTGTTTTCACAATAAAAAAGAAAAAGAAGTATTCAAACTTTTGATACAAGGTGCATTGATAGATAGAGTATCACCGATGGTACCACATGTCGTCTGGTTAATTTAGTAAAAATGGTAGTTACATTTTGAACATATTCCGAGAGAACGAAAAGGAGTTGCCAACGGATTGGTAAAGATGGCACAGAATCTCTCATTCGGACTCCACAACTTTAAAGACCCTCCGACAAAGATATGAAACTTACGGATGAATGATCGAAGAAGAAACATAGTAAACTATCTTAGATCTTTTCTACCTATGTGTACTAAAAAAAGAAGAAGAAAGGGACATGAGGATCTATCTTTGTTTTAAGGGTAAATTACACGTTTAGAATTAAAATTATCATTTTTATTTCATTTTGATCACATAATTTTTTTTTAAAATCGTACATGATGTTACATTTTGTTTTCGTTTTGTCAACTACTATTATAAAATTAACGGAATTACCGATGTCATATTTTTTTTCAATGATGACATAATATTACCTTATGGTAGTATATCAACATCAACGTTAATTTTTTAACTGCGGCCAAAATGAAATCAAAACTGAAAGTTAGATATGATTTAAAAAAATAGTTGGGGTCAAAATATAATAAAAGTGATAGTTGTGTACTAAACGTGTAGTTTATCCTTGTTTTAATTGAAAAAATAGTGGAAAATTGCCGTGAATCAGGGGTTGAAGCCAGCTAAGCTCAAGATCATTAATGTCTTAATCATTCTAAATTACACTTTCATTTCTGTTTTTTAGAGAGAATTTTTAGCCAACAAATACAGCTAGTTAACACTTACAAACACTAGTAAGGATCAAATCAAGCAGATTACAAGATCTAGCAACGCATTAAAAAAACTTAATGTGATGGTGACCCCATGCAAAAGTTTCTTCAAGAGAATCATGGGAAATCTTTGTTTTCAAATTAAGATTATGTCTCAAATTAATGAAGTTGAATGACCAATGGTGTGGAAAATTAAAGCTGCTTAATTAGCATTAATTGATTAAAATACTATATCTCACAAATGTTGGTGCACTTCTGCTATAAAGATCTTTGCACCATGAATACACAGATTTTACATTGGATTAATTGGTAAGAAAAGAAGAAGAAGAAAATATTACAAGTTCAAAAAAAGAACCCTAAAATTAATATAAAAATATTATGAAAAAGGGAAAAGAATCACCCTCTTTAAACCTAAGCATAAATGGCTATTAGCCTAGTTATGGGGTAGTTCATGCATGGTCTAATAATTTCATTTTTTTTTTGTATATACAGCAGCAATTCTCTGCTTTAAACCTTTAATCCAGGACCAAAGAATGGTGTTATTAGAGCCGAACTTTCATGTCAGACACTTGATTTAACCCTGCAATTACAAGAATAATCAACCATTAATTAATCAGTCAGATATAATTGGTTTCTTATTTCGCAGTTCTTTGATTCTTTTTTCTTTCCTTACCCTGGAAGTTTTGTGAATGGAATGCCATTTCTTGGATCTGGTTTTGGCCAAACCCCATCTGAACTAGGGTTTCCAGGTCTCCTTCACAAAATGCTGGGTACTGAAACATTTTGAAACCCGTACTTTTAGATGTTTAGGTCTATGAATATGGAAAAGATAGATTAAATATGAAAAGAAATTCACCCCAGATACTGTTTCAATAAACTGGTTAATTTGAGGCAAATGGGTGTTAAGCTTGGGGCAGATGGCAGTATTGGCCTGTAGTGGTGGATTTTGCTGGGTTTGGTGCCCTAAAAAGGCTGATGCTGCTGAATTCATCGGGAACATTGGATGCTGCAGAGTGTTGTTTGATTGAAATACCTGGAAAAAATGGTAATTTTTTTAGTTAATTGACAATGAATGAACAGATATCATGCAGACGCAGTTATCGGAACTCGAGACTTCAAATATTTGAAACATTATTTAATTCTAAAAAATGAACTGTTGAAATAAGAGGTTTAGACTTACTTCCTTTGACATTAAACTCTCCACGTTGTAGTCCAGCCTGGTATTTACTGAAGCTAACTTCATTGACAGGAACTGCCAATAAAAAAACCATGAAAACTTGTATGCCAAGAAATTGATCACCACACGTTCATCAATAAAAACTTAATAAACTCACCTCAACTTGTCGTTGCAATGATTGAACGTAGTTTATAATTTCGTCCAGCATCAAGGCTTTTCCAGCAACCTACAATGTGAAACCCCTCAACAACCCTTTATTTTTAAGAATTAAAGCAATCATTTTTTTATTTGATTTAGAACAGATTTTGTTTCAGACCTTGCTGCAGCCGGGAACAAGATTTTGCAGAAGCTTCATTCTCTCACTGATTTTCTCTCTACGGACCTGATCAAAGTGACAAATATTGATAACCAGTGTTAATGCCACAGAACCCAGATTATAAAAAAAACGAATAACGTATGATCCTCACTCTTTCAGCTAAGCTATGGGTGTCAGTAGCTTGACCCCTTCTTGCTCTAACATGAATATAGTCCTTGGGAGGCTCAGGAGCCTTTGTATTTATTCCTTTGCCATCTTCCTCTGCTTTACCAGAGCCATTTTCGTTTCCGTTGCTTTCGGATAACTTGCATCGTTTTTCATTTGATGCTTCGTTAGGTTCAATCACCTGGAAATGGATAATTACAGAATGTTAAAAGAGAATGTTCTCTTCAAAGAAAGTTGCAATTTGGAACTCTTTTTAAATTCTATACCTTTGAAGCATTTGGTGATGGGGACGGTGAAGTTTCCTTTGTTTTTGCCTTGTGAACAGCTTTTCTTTTCCTGGAATTCGAACCTTTCAAGCCAGGCTCAGGATTTTGATCGGAAACGGTGGATTCCTCTTGAGAATTGGCTAACTCGGATCGATTCTGCAATGGGGTATTCTTCTTGCTGCCGCCAACTTGAGATACCATTGCTTTTAAAGCAGGACTACTGGAAACACGCGGTAGATTGGCATTTGCTGCCAACGGATTAGATCTATAAGCAGCGATTTCACCATTGGGTCCAAACTGAGTCGTTCGACCATTGAAACTCCTGCTTCCGAAGCAAGAGAATCTCGCCGCTCTCTCCGCAAATCCAGGATCAGCTGAGAAATCCGCCACACTGGAATTCAACCCCATTGATGTTGGCAATGGCAAGTTCAATTTGGGAGGTGAATTCAATGGAGTGCCGTAACAAGAAGAAGCCGCCAACATTGGCTGAGAATGTTGGGGGATCTCACCGGAGTTACCAATGCTCCCCAATTTCCCTATCAATTCCCTGATCATTAAGCTCTCACCGGAGATATTGCAATTCGAAGCAGCCGAGGAAGACACCATGGAACTCAAGGCTGACTCGTACTGTAAACCATAATCTGTACTCGGGAAACAATCTTGAGACTGAATTTCCATGGCTGAAGACAGAGATTGCCAACCTGACATCGGCGACGACGATAAAGACGACCCAAACTGCAATGGCGGAGCGTGCGGTGGGATTCCCGCATTAATGAAAAACTGGTTCTCCATTTATTAAATTCAACGTGAAAATCCAAATTAAAAAAATGGGAAATTTGAAGAACAAAAGAAAGGAAGTTCCGGATTGATATTTTTTGTAACTTGGGATTCTTTATAAATCCAAAAGTCAAATAAGTGGGAATGGATGAAGTGTGGAATCAAAATGATTGCCTTTTTTTTTCATAAAAGAGAGGTGGTTAGAGAGGAAAGGTAAGGCCGAACACAAATTTGGTGAAGAAATGAAGAGCAAACGCAAAGGGAAAAGAGAGAGAGGAAGGGGGAGAATTGGGTTGGGCTGCCATGGAGTTATATAGATGTAAAACAATACTTGTTTTTCTTATTGTTTTCCCCTTGCCTTTTACAATAATTAATATGCTTTTCTTTTGATAAATATTTTATAATAATGATGATGCATGGTAATGGGAAGATACTGATATAACAGTTAATTGTGCTTACGTGATTATCCAAAATGCTTACGAGACGGTCCAGAATGTTGACGTTGTGGTCCTCATGTGATTGATGGTTTTGCATAGGGGTTTAGTAGATTTTCTTATAAAGTTAGAAGGCTTAAGTAGTTTGCTTTAGAAAATTCGAGATAATATTTAATCTTTAAGAAAAAAATAAAATTAAGAAATTATTAAAAGTTTAAATTGTTAAGATATTAAAAATAAAAACAAATTTAAAATTTTTGAAAAATAAAGAGTTAATTATACATGAGGTCTTCAAAGCTATGCTCTCGTTCTATATTGGTCGCTAAACTTTAAAATGTTATTTATCAATCCTTAAACTATCAGTATCATTCTACTTTGACCATTCCATTAACATCCTCAAAACCAAATGTGACCTAAAAAATTAATAAGTTTTTTAAAGTACTGCAATTTTTTTAGAAGATCACAAGTTTAATTCTTAGGACGTTCAAGAATAGATTAAATCGTTTTAACACGTAGAGTCAATGGCACGTTAACGAAAGGATCAAAATGGAACGATATTGGTAGTTTGATGTCTGGTACAAAATGTTTTAAAGTTTAAGGACTAGTTTAGAATATTTTCATAATTTGAAGACTGGTACAAAATATTTTAAAATTTAACGACCAATTCAGATAGGTCTATATTTTGGGGGACATTTTGTGAAATTATATCAAAATTTTCAAAATATCATAATGATATGGTAGATTAAAAATTATCAAAAAAATCAAAACTTAAAAAATATTTAAACACTTTCGACGGAAAAATCTTTGATGCTCAAGAACTTAAGTTTACTACTATTCTTTAAATATATTTTCAAGTGACTCAGTTTAACAAGGGATCATCAGAGATTTTTTTTAATATAAAAATGTTTATTTTTTAATATTTTAAAATTTACTTTTAATAATTTATTTCTCTATAACTTCTCTATTTTTATTTTTTTAATTTAGCATTTGGAAGTTTTAATAGCATTTTAATTTTAGTAATATTGTAATATTCATATTTTTGAGATTTTTAAAATTTTAAAAAATTAAGTAAAATCTCAAATTTTTTATATAATCAATTAAATTATCGGTTTTTAAAAAAAATTATAATTTTTTAAAATTTTGATAGACTATAAGAGTAAAATTACCCTTAAAGTCTTAAACCACTAGCATTTATGTATTATATAATACATATAATATTTTATATTAAAAAAGTACTATACACATTTAGGAAAAAGATGTTGGTTGAATGAGGCTTATATATATATATATATTTAAATTAATCATTGGTATTTGATCTATTGACCGATTAGTTCAGATTGGGTACTACAGAGACGATGAACCCTTCCAACCCAGTTTGCTACATTCACAAACGCTAGGATTCGAACCCCTGACCTTACTTAAAGAACTTAGTGTCTTATTCACTAAATCAACTGATTGTTGATAAGAATTATATTTCTTAAACTGTATATCTTTAGTCAAATTACGCATTTGTTGCTTGTCAAATCGTAATCTTTTTGTGTATGTTTTACATTTATTAATGAAAATAACTCGTGCATGTACAAATGATTAATCTTTCACTTCATGGTATTAGTCGTTTGACGTATCCAAACCATTGAATAAAATATTGATTGGGCTGGAGTTTGATTGGTCGAATAAAAATAATAATATATTTGTATGCAAAATTAATTCAATCTATATATTTTTTAAAAAATTAATTTATAAATTGATGAAATTTTAACTAATATCTCGGTTTTATACTAAAAATCATACCTTCAAATTAAATGTATTTTTGCTAAAGTGGTTAAATGTATATTTGTAAATATATTTTTGCAAAAATAAATACAACATATAAATGGAATTACAATCAATGCAATTTATGTAACAATAATTAAAATTAACAATTGTTGAGCATAGGAAATTAGTTGAAGAATATTGTTATGATTTTAGAGATTAGTTAGAAATTAGTTAGGAGCAGTTATCTTAGTGTTAATACTATATATATGTTTTCTGTATACATTTGATAATATATAAAATCAGAGATATTTTTTTCAACATGGTATCAGCCTAATCTCGGTCCTCCGTCTTTTACTTTTTTCTTTTTTGGGCACGCTCTTGTTATTCTCTTTTCTTTCTACCCACTCTCGATCTATTTCATTTTTTCTCCCAATTTCATTTCCTCTTTCTTCTCTCAAAATGCCTTCTGCCTAGGAGATCGATTTCACTCATCTGTTGTACCTCCATCCGTCCGATATGTCTGGGCTTCTTCTTGTCTCTCAGCCTCTCGTTGGATTAGATAACTACATCATATGGAGTCGCTCGATAAAGATTGCATTGCTGGCCAAAAACAAGTTAGGGTTTATTGACGGTTCTTGTCAGCGTAGTGATTACATCGATGCTTTACATGTGCAATGGGATTGATGCAATGCTGTGGTTTTGTCTTGGATTCTGAATGCTGTCAGCGAAGATTTATCGGCTGGGCTGGTGTTTGCTTCCAGTGCGGCCTCTGTTTGGAATGATCTACAAGAAAGGTTTGATAAGGTAGATGGCTCTTGTATCTTTTTTTTGCATCGCGAGATTGCCACTATGTGTCAAGGTGAATCCTTTGTTTCTGGATTCTTCACTCGTTTGAAGATGCTATGGGACGAGTACGAGTCCTTGATTCCCTTCACTGCCTGTGATTGTGAAGTTTCCCAGCAGAACATGAAACATCTCGTTCAGCAGAATCTATTTCAGTTCTTGATGGGCTTAAACGATTCCTATTCGGCGATTCGCAGTCAGATTTTTCTCATGCAACCTCTGCCAATAGTGAATCAAGCCTATTCTATGCTGATTCAAGAAGAGTCTCAAAGGTCCCATTTATATGTGGTTGATGCGCATGATATGGTAGCTTTGTTTTTTATTTCTACTGCTTCTTCTGAACGCAAACGGTTTTCTGGAATATGTGATTACTACAAAGTTAAAGGTCATAAGAATGATCAATGCTATCGATTGATCGGATTTCCTCCAAATTACAAGTTCACAAAAAAGAAGGGGGTTTCCAGTACTAAGGCAAATTCGAGTGTTTCTATTGACTCTATGCCTAATCGTTCTGTTCATGTTCCTTTTGTTCCAGTATTTACTCAAGAGCAATATAATCAAATTCTGCAGCTCTTGAACAAGTCATCCTCTGCAGATTCTGCTGTTAATCTTGCAGGTATTCTTCCTAACAATTACTTGCAATCTAATGCTTCGCTTGAATGAATTATTGACACAGGGGCAACATACCATATTTTATATGATTTTAAGAGCTTGGATTGTCCCAGTCCTTGTGATTCCTCCACACGTTTCATAAATCTTCCTGATGGTAAACATGTACCTGTTACTCACCTTGGTTCCTATTTTCTTACTCTAGACTATAAACTTGAAAATGTCTTGTTTGTTCCATAATTTAAACATAATTTACTTTCAGTGTCTCTGCTTACTCATGATCTTGGTTGTTGCCTCACCTTTTATCCTGGCTTTTGTCTTCTGCATGATCTCTCAACTGGAAAGATGAAGGGGATTGGTAGGGAATCTAGAGGCCTATATTTTTTTGAGTCTTCTTTTGATTCTGGTTTGTCTTCTGCTTTGAATAAGCTTTCTTTTACTGCTTCTTGTATGGCTTCTTACATATCAAATACTTGTATTTGGCATGCTAGATTGGGCATGCTGCCTTTTCTAAGATGAATAAAATAGGTTTTCTGCAATCTGTTAAATTTCAGCAAGATTTAGTTCACAAATGTCCTATTTGTCCTTTAGCTAAACAACCTAGGTTGCCTTTCCCTGTGAGTACTTCTAGGTCATATATTCCATTTCAGCTTATTCATATTGATTTGTGGGGTACATATAGGGTTTCTACATATAGTGGTCATCGTTTCTTTTTAACTATTGTTGATGATCATTCTAGAATGACTTGGTTGTATCTGTTGAAGCATAATAATGATGCCATCTCACCCCTTAAACAATTTCTTTCTTTAGTTAAAACTCAGTTCTCTGCTTCAGTTAAAATAATTAGGAGTGACAATGGTTCTGAATTTTTTAACTCTGAGTGTTCTCATTTTTTTTCCTCTCTTGGACTTGTTCATCAAAGTTCTTGTGTTGGCACCCCTCAGCAAAATGGGGTTGTTGAAAGAAAACATAGACATATTCTAGAAGTTACCCGTGCTTTACGTTTTCAATCTAGTGTATGTAACATCCGTAATACCAGATTAGTGACTAAATTGAAAAGTTTCAGAATTTAGTGATCAATTTATGAAAAATTGAAAAGTTTAGGGATTTAAAGTGTAATATTTTGATAGTGGATTAAATGGTAATTATGGAAGAATTTAAAGGGTATTATGGTCTTTTTATGTAAAAGATATTTATCTCTTATTTAAAGAGAGAAGCTTATGGGTGAGGAAGTATCTAGAAAGCTTTATTCTTCTTCTTTCTTCTTCCCGTTGGTTTACTTCATAAGGGTGAGTTTAATTTCAGCTTCTTAATTCTTGAATTTATAAATTAGTTTTGATTCTTTGGGTATTAAATAAGCTTAAGGAAAGCTTATATGGGATTTAAACAATAAGATAAAGGAATTAAGAAGGAATTAGTAATATGAGTTTTAAGATGAAATTTTGATATGGTATGGTTGTTGAAGTTTTATGGATGAATTTGACTTGTCATCAATCTAATTAAGAAGTATGAAGAGTTAGAATTGGAATTAGAATACATTGAAAATTTAGTGTGATTCTTGAATGCCATGTAAATGATGGAAATTTGGGTTTAAAGAAGTGATTATGGAATAGAAATGAGTTTAAATGTGTATGGAAGTTAGGAAT